ATTGTGTATCTTTGAAAAAGCTATTTTTGAATAAAAATGTGTCAATCAAGTTTATTTGTATATGCTGACCTGCCTGGTTGAAAGTGCTTCACAAAACCAGAATAGTCAACAAATGAATCATTATGCTTCACCAAGTATCATCCTTTCACAGCAAAATGTTGGTTATGTTTTCATTCATCGTGGTTCAAAAGCAGCTCTAAACTGGTGGGTTTAGTCTCGATTGTGGTGAAGTCAGTGTTTCGGTTGTTTTGTAGTTTTCTGAAAGTTTGTCCCACCGGCTCACCAAGAGAAAACTTTGACTATGTTGGATCTCATGTCGTTTGAGTTCTGGCATCCAAGGTTAATAAAACGTGGCACTTTCACAACGGGATGTTGACATGAAATCATCCGAGATGGGATTTATGCAAATAATTTAATTGATTAAATGAGTTTTTAATAATGATTTAATTAAAAACTCAACAGTGCGTCAGAAGAAATGGACTGATCCTGTCATTAAATAAATAGAGCGCCGCCATGCTTAAATTTCCCTTCTCCATATTTTATTCTAAGCTTATTACCTGCAGTACCTCGTCATTTTTTGCTGTCTGGGTAAAACAAATGAGAGGTAATTCTGATTAAAAGTTTTTCAGCAGCTGCAGGTGTAATTTCCCCTTTGATTGCACAGAAATATCTTTCAACCGCTCCCATCCTCCATCATTTTGTTTACCACAATGCTGCTTGCCTCTTAGCTTGAAATTAAATTTTATGGAAAACTGATGTGTTGTTATGAGAAAAATGTAAGTCGGGACGGGTGCGCAGAATGCTGAGTGGTCGTCCAACCTCTTGTTTGCCCACAGGTGAAGCAGAGAGAAAAAAAATCATATTTTGCTCCAGTTTAGAAATAAATATGTTAGTGAAGTCCAATTAAACCCTGAGGAGTGTAACGCTCAGTTAAAAACCCTGAAACGTGTAGAGAAATGATATTGTCAGCCACTTCCACCCACAACTGCTTTGAATTTATAGAGCTGCAGAGCGCGCCTGGCACTCAGATACGGCGAGGAGCGTGTATGATTACTTTTATATTATAGGGTAGCATGTTGTGAATAATCTTGTACAAATAATATATTTTGTCCACAGCATGGCTCTTTCCATCTCCTTCAAGGCTCCTGTGAATAAACATGAAAGGAAAACTAGCAGAGAAAGTGACCAGACATCTGAGATGTGTGGATGTCTGGGTTGCTTTAACGAGAGAATGAAATCAATATTGTTGCTCGTTTCATTGCAACAATATTTCATTTATCACCAATGCAAATTTATATTTGGTTCTGAACATGCATTTCTGTAAGGATCCTCAGGAAGACATTAGATTCAACCGCACCGAGACAAAGAGCTCAAATCCTCTAAAAACACTTAACACTGACTATTTTAATAGTTCAAACTCTAAATAGACTTTAATATGTGTTACTATGAGCTGTGGAAGTTGTGTTAGCACTGAGCTAACGTTCAGGACCGTCGTTATTTTTTTCTATAAGGAGTTCAGCCAATCAGCGCCAAGGAAAATTAATGCTGCTCCTGGATTGTCTGCTTTGTAAATGCCAGCTAAAAGTAAACTTTAAATGTTTTAGAAAAAAATCCATGAATAAATAAAGTTTCCACAAGTAATTAGAAGTTTGACAGGAAAATCCACTAACACTGAACCAGAAAAGGCTGTGATCCACTCCTGATCCTGGTCATAAATGGTTGTTGCAGACTTAATACTTCAGAAAATACTTTAAATAATTCAAAAATCTAGCACTACACAGTTGCAGGCCAACCATAAGAAATCCCAAATGGCTCAGAAGCTGCAGCACTTTCTGCCTTTTTTCCTCAAACTGCACGTCCAGGTTTCCTCCAACAAAACAAACCGATGAAGCAAATTACAAACAATTGAATCATAAAGGATGTTTAGCAGAACCCAGATCTATTAATACAACTATGATGTGATCACATTGTTTAGTTGCAGATGCAGGTATTGTTTTTCTTTCTTAATGGTGAGAAACACAATCACCCTGAGGAATTGCATCACAAATGGAGCATCTAATAATCAGCTTATCTATATTTGACATTCTGTCTTAGAAAAACTCCTGAAGGTGAGATGAAAACAAACAACAGAGAACACCTGCTTATGTTACATCAAGTAACTAATACAAAACACGGATCTGTACGCTCAGGTTCTCATAAGAGCTTATGAGAAGTCAATATCTAACCTGCAGTGGATGAAGTGGTTAGCAGCTTATGAGAGATTCAGGATTGTTCAGTGGAAATCAAATTCAACAGATTCAGCTGAGCTGAGATATTTGGGGAAGAAAAATGGACGAGATCAACCATCCAGCGCTTAACAGAAGAAGGAAACTAAATATTGGTCATTTAGAAATGCTTCAAAGATATTTACTGGCATCAAATAAGTGCAAAACAAAGTTTGCGTGTCGTAACTTTTCAACCACATTGAAATGATGAGCTGTTTCTAAAATAGTTCTATCGAGCAAATACTGCCTCTCAAATTTAAATGAGGTTTTACGCATCCGCTTAGTGGAAGATCCACACAAATCTCTGTATATTTATGCAGCGAGAGCAAATAGTTCAGAGCAATCTACATTGTTTGTAGAACAAATATTAGAGAAGATAAATGATGCCTGCTGAAGGCTGCTGTTAATTTTGTTGCAGGAAAATAAAACGGGGAGAAGGAGCAACGTCCTGCGCTGCTGCTTTATAAAATAAAATAAAAAAAAAACAAGGCAGGGACATAAGAGAAGGTAGAAACAAATCCGGACGGTCCAAGCATGATGAGGTTAATAATTAACTCTGCAAAGATCCGTCATCATCATGAAGTGAGTAGATTATCATTAGCACTTTTATGCTAATTTTTCTGGTTTGTCAGATGTAAGTTAATCAGCAGTGAATAACTCACATGTATTTCTCTTGTGCCGCACCCACCGATTCAATGCAACAGCACATAAATTATTATATACATTATTTCTGGGGGAAACTCTGTGAATGTACATTTAATTATCATATAAAAAATAAGAAAGTGATGTCATGGCGAATGTCTTGGCTCAGAGGAATATTGAATTTCACACTCTGGATGTCAATAGAAATGCACGATTCATCAGATTATTGCATAAAAAGCAACATAAATGCTTCAACGCTCCAACAGGACTTGATGTTCTTCATTTATCTACATTTAGAATCATGTCAGGCTTGTTTTTTACCACAGCAGACCTGAGGAAGCTGTTTTAATGTATGATAGACATCACTCCGTGGGAGAGTAAATAATTCATCCTCCATATTGATTGGTAATAGATAACGAGACTGATTGCTTTCTGAACACTGGCATAATTTAACATAGTTTAAAACTGCTGCAACCAACAACTCTCTCTTGCACAACTCAGATCACTTTTACCTGTCTGGTAAAAATTAACAGATTACAAATAAATCCCTTTGTGCAATATAGATTTTGATATTTGATGGGAAATTTTACAACCCCAGATAGAATAAGCTGGATGGTGTAATCAGGGAGATAAATTCAGAAAGCTCCTCTTGTCAGAACAGAAATCTTTCAACCCCAGAATCCGGGATTAAATGCTTGGCGGCGTTAGTTGTGGTCAGGTAGCCTGACATGGGGAGCTCTGCTTATGCTAAACTGTGGTAATTTTATGCTAAGAACATCGGACGCTGTCTGAAAATCCTTGTCGGGTGATTGCGCCCGCGGATTTGGGAGGGGATATTTTGGAAAACAAATGCACAACACTGCAGCGTTTCCCCAAGCGCCCGCGAGACTGATGAGTCTTCAAACACGACCCCTGCAAATCCACCGGGGTCGTGCACAGCAGGAAGGATGGAGCGCAGGCCAAACTGTGCAAAGCTCCCTCAGTGTGATCAATATGTGCATATGTAAAAAGTCAGTGTACAGCAAAAAAAGAGGAATAGGGACCAAAATCAAATCCCTAAGATTACAGCAAGCACATATTAATAGAGTGCATAATGCACCACGATGTCCAATATTTTTTAGGTTTTGATGCGGCCTTTAATTTAATGTAGGACGCCGTCTGATTAATACCTAATGATGAGCATTCATTACATGCAAATGTTTCCTGGGTTTAAAATGAATCATCTTAATGGGATATTTTGGGTGTAGTTAAATCAAAGCGAACAGATGGGAGTCACGTGTTGAATAAGACATTTAATGAGTGTTTTGATTATTTAATCCCCTTATTTTTACTGACATATTTACTGTATGCATCTTCTGACAGGTTTGAAGCAAACAGCCAGTAATTCACATCCTCAAGAGTTCATCCTTTAATCTGTATGAATAAAATTCAACAAGCAATCTAAAAACCCGCATTAGCCAAACAAAGCCCTTTACTGTGAGCATCAGGAGTGTTTTTCTTTTCTTACTCCTCATGCATATTGTTTGCTCTTGTTTATATCAAACAGTCTGCACCCCTTTAAGGTTCTAAGTCAGAGATACATATCGCAAGTCATCATTCTTTTTGCTGAAGGAAGCAGTGTTGCTGACATTGCCATGTTGCATTATACTCACAACAAGAAAACAAGGGGACATAATCTAGGACAAGCTGTCGGGAATCATCTGAAACAATTTCAGTTAATCGACTCTGAGATGCATAAATCCTCCTTCTCATGGACGACGAGGATCTCTGAGATCATGAAGGAAGAAAAACAACAGAAACGCAGGATGCAGACACGCCAAATAATCTCATGATGAGACGCGTTTAGACGTCTATATCCAGATATTAAAGGAAGAGAGTAAAAGTGACACCTGCATGCTTTATTTCGCCTCGTTAGGTAAAGTTCAGTAAACCAGATATGTTAAGATGTTGCAGTCTGCAGTGCAGCATGCTGTGTTTCTGTGTCAGCAGAATGAACACTGGGCTACAAAGCCCTCATTACTTCAGCTGAAGTAAAGCAGAGAAACATTTGATGCTCCAGCCGGAGCAGCTTCTGCTGGGGGAACCGTCACTCACCGCTCTTGCAGATGGGACAGCACTGGTCGGGCTCGTACTCCGGGTCCACACACTCAGTCTGAGGACAGGCGGACACCGAGCACAGAACCTCTCCACTGGGCTCACACCGGCACTTCTCACACGGAGACACCTGAAGGACAGGGATCAGGTCGGCCCATCAGCACAAAAATAAAAAGTTTCTGGTCCAGTTTCTAATGCAGATATCTTAGTACATTTAAAATAAGATTAAATTAATGGCCAGTAACATTTCTGCAAGACATATGAGCTTGTCCTAAGTCTATACTTCCTTAATATTAATATTTAATATTCCTTAATATTAAAATAAAAGTGCCTGAACGTATATGGAGGTTTATAAAGACTTCCTCGCTCTCCTCATCCAGCCTGTCAGCTCAGACCGACGTTTATGTCTCGGTTGTTTTGCAGTTGGTCCTTCTGCTCTTCATGTCCAGATGATGGAGTGAACAAAGCTCTGTGAGACGTTCAAAGGTCGTTGTAAAAGCTAACTCTGCTTTAAACTTCTCCACAGCTTTCTGTGACCTTTCTGCTGGGATCCTTGGTCTTAATGATGCTGTTTGTTTGTTTGCTGATTTTGTGGAGGTAATTAGTTGAGCTGGAGGTTTTCAGAGGGATCAGATTGAAGGGGACTCAATACAAACACAACAACTTTTTCAGACTCCTATTTTATGGAAATAAAATAGGAGTCTCCTATTTTATTTTAAGTGGTCTCTTCATAAAAATGAAGAGACCACTTAAAATGATCAGTTTCTTTAATTTTACTCTTTTTAAATAAAATATGTCTCTGAAAAAACAAGCTTGCAGAAAATGAGAAATGGTCAAAATAACAAAAAAGATGTGGTGCTTTCAGATGTATAGCAAAAAAAAAACAAATTCATATTAATTTAGAAACAATATTAATGTTTTAACTCAGGAAGAGTTCAGAAATCAATATTTGTTAGAATAATCAGCAGGTTTTCAGTGCAGTGGGCTCTTCATTTGTTCCAGAGCTGTTTATAGTTTCCCTCTCAACACATTAAAAAATTAATCAGATTATTGACGGCGCTTAACTTTGTAAGCTTGAATTTTAAAAATGCACTTTTTAAATAAATGTTAAAGAAAACATTTTATTGTTTCAAACCAAATATCTCAATTTTAATATTCAAGAAGATTAAAAGAAAAGTCATTTTGTTTCAAACCTAATTTTAAAACTATAAACTGCCTGTTCTTCAGTAGAAGGATAATAAATAAGTTGGTTTAATGCTGCCTTGGTTCATCCAAACATCCATCTGGGAGCTTTTTAAAAATCCAGTCTGACGCTCGTCTCTCATCTTTTCACTCACTTTTCTGACAGACAGTGAGAGAGAGGTTTCAAGATAAAAGCATGGAAAACAATTAATCTGCATTAACAAATATTAACGTGTTAAACTATTTAGATTAATCATAGGTGAATAAATTAATGCATTCATATTGACAACCCTAATATAGAGCACATAAAATTCCTGCTAAATACTTTTAAGCTTGCAGTTGCAACACAACAGAATATATAAAGGTTCAGGGGGTTTGAACATTTCTGCATAACTATGTACCTTACACACACACACACACGCGCGCGCGCACACACACACGCGCGCGCGCGCATACACACACAAAGCTCAATAAGACTGCCTTGATTGTTTAGGGGAGTATGTATTCAGTGTCAGAGAGCCACATCTATGGGGAAGTCTCACTTCTCTCAATTTTATTGCCAATGAGCGCCTCATTTTCGGGAGGGCAGAGCCGAGAATTGAACTACCCTATTCAATCAGAAGATAAGAAGAAATCAATAGGAACTGGGAAACAATAGAAAGATGCTTCCAATTTCCTCAGCGTGTGAGTCTGGGTCGGCTATCCAAGTGTTTTTGTGTGTCTGAAAATAGAAGAGGAAAAGGTGGAACAAAGGCTGGGGAGCGCAGAGTTTGATTTACATTCAGAGCGAGCAAGCACAGGTTTCATTTTGAAGCTGCTTACATGAAGTCATACACCTCTGGTCCTAACTAGAGAGCTGAGGCTTGTTCTGCAGATTGCTGAAGCTTGTGCCTCCGCATGGCACTCCACTGTGAAAAATGGAGCGAGGTAGCACTTAGCACGATGCCCCAGAATGTAGCAATCAAGCATAAAAAACCAGCCTGTTGCTCCGGTTCAAAGCCTCTGCCCTACAAACGGCCCAAAGCCCGACGTATATCAGCGGGAAAGCCTTAGAAGAAGATACTCCACATTAAGTTCAACCATCTGTGGAGACACTACAGACATAAAAAGAGGCATTGGGGTTGAATTTATTGCCTCATAAGAGACATAACACTCAGATGGTGGTGCAATCCTGAGTCAAGCCTCTTTATGAAGACGTGACAGCAGATAAAAGAGTAAAGACCTCAGTGATGTGTCTTTCCCAAACGCCCACATGTATGAGCATGCCCTGCAGAGTTGGAACATTACTGAAGCTGTAACTCTTTGTATCGGCTGAATATGGAGGCACTCTGCTGAAGCTGCACGGCCAAAACTCAGCCTCCGGTAACATTCTGCTACACAAGTGCTGACCTTTGCCATTATAAATGTGCCTGCGTGCCCGCTTGTATGCTGCAAGGCAAGGTTACTTGTTTCTGTGTAGCGGCAGTAATAAACTCCATTGATAGCGTGGAGTGTTCGGTCAGCAATTCTTTCAGGTCGGAGCATGTCAACGAGGACTGAAAGTGGTGAAACAGGCTCACCTTAAACTCTTCTAGCGAGGCGTAGACCTTGCCCCGAAACTCGCAGTAGTTTTTTTTCTCCTTGCACAGAGGGCAGCACTGGCTGGTGTCCACTTTGATGCACCGAGGGTGGACCTTAGGACATTCGGGTTTGGTGCACAGAGGGCCCTCGTCCGTGCAGAGGCAAGGACACGTCGAGGGGCCCGGGGTGAACTGGTCGCCGATTGCAAACACAAAGCCGCTCTCGTCCATGCAGCCTTTCCCCCTGTAGTCCGGGTAGGCGTACTCGTCGATGGCATCCAGGGAGAGGGCCACGTCGCTGGTGGGGCCCTCGTCTATTTGGTTTAGGCTGTCCTGTTCGCTCCACTGCTGCTCGGATTCTCCATCTTCCAGGGAGCTGAAGCTCGGCCCGGTGAGGTCCGGGGCGGTCCTGTTGGGGCCGAAGGCGTTGGTTCCCTGAGCGGCGTACTCCTCTGGACTCTGCCTGTCCTGCTGCTCGTCCTGCCGGGTCTGGGTCAGCACCTTCTCCAGGTGATCCCGGCTCACCGACAGCGTCGCTATGGGATTGCACAGGACGCCGCTCATCACGAACCCCAGAAGAAGGACCTCCGCTGCCATGGTAACGGAGAGCAGCATCTCTTCCCACCACCGGAAAGGTGGGAAAACACCTGGGCTCACATAACACGGTTCACATCTCAGGTGCGAGCCAGTCCATCTGGAAAGAGAAAATTAAACTGGGGTTATGTGTTCGGCACTTTGTCGCTTTCTATCATTGGGCTCTGACTTTCGTCTGAGTCTCGTTCCCACAAGCAAACAACCAGTGAGTGTGAGGCGAGCATGTGGCATCAGTGAATTGGATCATCAGGAAAAGAAGTAGACACAAAGACGCGTTAGGAAATCGATCATGCTTGGTACTGTAACACTTGGCAGCATCAATCAGTCTCTGCGGTGTTAGAGTTAGGGGAAAATGGCCAATGAGGGAACCGAGTGTCACCCTGCTAAGGACCTCATGGAGCAGAGAGCCGGGATCAATGTCTGTTTCTTTTCAATGAATCGCAGCCAACGCTACATAAAGAGAGATTGATTTGAAAATGGAGCACGATGCCATCTTGGAAAGATAACTTTACAACAGATTTCAGAGCCATGAGAGCAGCAGTGTCAGTTTCAAAATAAAAGCCAATCTGCTCCATCTCGTTTTTATTTTTTTTGCAAGAAAGCCAACAAAATGTCACTTTCTGAGACCCTTTCAGCTCTCAGAGTTGACGTGTGCCAGCTAAAAGCCCTGGGATCAGCTGCAGAGGCTGCACATTTTTAAAAGGCAGCACGGCCGATGTTTTTGTTTTTGTCTCCTGCTTAACTTGATTTACTGCATCGTCTTGACATTCAAATGCCTCCTGTGACGCGCTGCTGTGTCTGGTGGCCTATTTTCATTCATTTTCTTCACACCCAATGTTTGGCGTGATCGCTGAGCTCCTTTTAATGGGCTGCAGTCAGTTTGACACACAACTTATTTTGCAGAAAAGCATTTGATTACTTAGCACTGACAGACCCAAGTATTAACTGAAAAGTTGTGTCAAAGCTTATTTATGGCGAGCTTTTAAAAGAGGGCAGCTGCTCATAAATGGGTGCAAAAGGTTCCTTGCAAAAATATTCGCACCTTCTTTAACTCCAGCTTTTAGTTATAACAAACTTCCACATTTTTCATTGCGAAAAAATTATTATTCGAAGGCCCGTCAGTCACTTCACATCGTTAAACAGTCACAGCAAGGAAAAGATCCACCAAAGCCTGATCTGATCTCTGCTGCCAGATGGACGAAAAGACAACCCTGACCTCATGAACTATCCCTCACTTCATGGAGGGGAAACTTGTAATTCTTCTTTACTCATGGGGGCAATTGTCCTTTAAGACAGTTGCCAGGTTAAGCATTTTACCCAAGAAGTCTTCAGGTCTCTGCAGAGACATTTAAATACAATCAGGAAACTTCGTTAATGGAAAAACACACCTTGCAAAAACAGTAAATAAATATAATCAGTAAATAAATGGTTAAAAAAAAAAGTATCATCAGTTCCATCAAAAATGAAATGAGACTGAAAATGAAATTTTCTATTACAATAAATAAAGTGTGAATCTACTTTCAAAAGGAGGATAAGGTTTTTCACAATATCACCATGAATCATATAAACATTAATCATTTATTTTGTTGTGTCCAATGTAAAAAGACTTGATCAAGTAATATTACCCAAAGAGAGAAAAACTGAGCTGAGAAAAACTTCAATCATTGTGTTTTTATCTGAGATTTCAGATGCAGGCTGATAAAATCCAATGTTTGTTTTTTTGGCTATAGTATCAGAGCAATTTCCAATATCATTAATGGATACTGTTCTGCTCAATCTGTCTCCAATGAAATTTCTTATCAAAAAATGGCATGGTGACTCTGGAGGAGCTGCAGGGATCAACACCTCGGTAGTTTAGTAAAATAAAGGCTGATGCTGTAAGAAAACCTAAAAATTGAGACTTGGGAGAATATTCACCTTCCACCAGAACTACAAATGTCAAAGTATATTCATGTGTGAAAAGTGGCCCAGTCAAAGTCAAAAGCCTAAATCTAATTTAGTATATATGATTTGAAATCCCAGCTCACAGATGTTCTCTATTTAATCTGCCTGAACAAGAAGAATGGGCAGGAATTTCAATCTGCATGTGAAAACTGGTGGAGAAATTCCCAAAGACTCGCAGCTGTAATTTCAGAGAAAGACGCTTCTGCAAAGTAATTACTCAGAGGATTTCTATTTTTACAAAATCAAGAATCATTTTTCTCCGGTTCATCATTACGCGCCTGTTAGTTCTCAACACAGAAAATCCTAAAAAATATGTTTAAGTTTTATCTCTGCAACATAAAATGAGACTTTCCTGGAGGTGTGAAAACTTTTCAAGGCAGGTTTAGATATGTGGAAAGAAAGAAAGCAAACAAGATGGACCACGGATTCAGTTTCAGTGAAAGCAAACCAGATTCCTCCGCATGTTTCAGGTGACGCCTTTTGATATTCCTAAATTCAGCTTCATTCTTCGGGACAAACGACGGCACCGCTATCACACCGGCGGTGTTTGAGGAGCGTTTCTCCCTCTGAACGAGGAGGAAGCAGAGCGAGGTGCATACCGACAACACCGCTGCAGCTGACAGAGACGGGGAGCCATGATTCCCGGCCTCATTAGTAAAAGGACCTCATTTGTCTTTTCTCAGCCTCACCTCTCCACCCTAACAGCTGTTCTGAGCTGTCACTCTAATGCCGCCGCCATGCCGCCATGCCGCCGCGCTCTGTGTGGCCTTCAGGGTTTTTGGCAGCATGAAGCAAACTGGCCTGGGCAACAATGCTGCTTATAGATAACTGGTTTCCTCACTGCCTGTGTCTAACGATGAAGCAGACTGTTTACAGCAGCTTGTTGTGTCACAGATTCATGTCAAAATGTCCCCCAAGTGAATGTAAGCGTCATGGCTGGCTGAGTAACGAGTCGGGGTGATGCACTTTAAAAATCCAAATTGCTCATAAAATATGAAAGAGCACAGTTGGCAAATAAGCCGAGCACGCAATGAAAATGACTTGTTGATCCGAAATGTGTGCTGGATACAAATGTGGTCAGCCAAGACCACAAAGGAAGAGATTTCAGATCCAGACTATTATTCTCTGAACGCTAATTCTGTGAACCCATTTCTGCTGCCATGCCTGTTCCACTTCCTAGAGGAATTATAGAGAGCCAGTTTATGCCACAAACAAGTAACCATGTCACCATCAGGTGTTATACGAATGCTTTAAAAAAAATTGACATCGTAATTAAACGCTTTGACTTAAAATTGAACCTTTGTCTCTTTAAAAAAAATTCTTGCTCTTTCTGAAACCTTCAGGAAGTCATTACTTCACAGGTAGTTGTGTTTTTTGTTTTTTTACCAACGAGCTGCGCTGGTGCGTAACAGCTCTTACAGGTGTTTGCTAATTGCTGCTGGCTAGTCTGAAGGAAATGAGTGAGCGTTCTTAAGAGTTACCTATAGATGGCGAAACACAAGGAATAGCAGGTTACTGATTAATAATTTCTAAACAAGCTGATCAACTAAATGAACAAAAATATGATTCAGTTCCATTTACTTTACAGGAGTTTACATGGGAGCTGATAATGAGGCCACACAGATTTGGTAAATAATTGTTTCTGTGAACTGGACTCCTCCACAAAATAAATCTAAACATTTACAAATGATGTTCAACTAAAGATCATTTTAAGATAAGGTTGTAGCTTCATTCCTCTACATTCATCTTTTAGTACTTTTCCAATCCTCCAAACAGCCCTGAGCCTGAGAGACATTATTTACCTTCAACCTCAGAATGTGTTTGCAAAGCAAGGACTTTTAATTATTATTCTAAACTGAAGTAATTATGGAAAAAATGGGTCAAGTGTGGGTGTCCTAACAGACACATTTTTTCTCCAGTCTTCACATTTTTCTCAGCAGATAGAGATGAAAACTATTTAGCTCAAAATATAAAATACAGGCAGATATGCATTTTTCATTGAGTATATAAGTATGAAAAGAATTATAAATAAACAGATGATTGGCAGTTTCTTTCATTTATTTGAGACTGTGAGAAATTACACCCATTGGTTGTTTATGCGGTTTGGGGAGGTGACAGAAATGTGACTAATAGTTATTAATTATGCAGATTTTTTCTCTCCTGTTTACTTGTTTGCGTTTGCTCTTTGAGAACTGACAGCTGAAGCAGACAGCCTTTAAATCATGCAATTTCACTTTGAACTGCAACCAATTCACACTTCCTGCACAGACCAGTGGCTCCAGTCTCCAAGTGGTGTTTGTTGGCAGTGAGGAAAAGAAAATGAAGCACAACAAATATTTGCATAATGCAGAGCAATATGCTTTACCACCTTTGGAAATTACTTTTCTTTTTTTTTTTTCCACAACAGTCACTCCATCCATATGACATCTCCCCGCTTTAACACAAACCTCATCTCCACTAATGTTTAACTAATTTCCATTTCTCAGAATAACGTCCAGCTGGTGTCATCGAAAGAGATTTAAATGTAAACGCAGATATTTTCCTTCTTACTGTAACGTTGTGCAGTGAAATCTTATTAAGATGAAGTTGTAGATTATCCTCTTCACCCATTCTTCATGTTCAAACACTATTTTATTTATATTCTTGTATATAAGCCATCTGATAAAAGGTCAGAGATTTATCTCTGGCCTACAGCTCTGCAAAGACTTTTTGTTTTTTTTGCTTCGCTGCTCTAAATTCAGTGCTTGCAAGGACACGCTGCAAGAGAGGAAACAAACAGAACAAAGATGTGACTTAGAGACACAATGGAGTCTGGGGAAGGCTGTGGACGAATTTCCAAACTGTGACAGAGACAAAGTCGATTCTGAGGAGTCATGTTCCCAATTTGAGGCGCGAGCCGCTGTGGAGAGGAGGCGAAGTGGAAGCCGTCGCTCTGTTAGCACACAGAGTTTACACAAGTCGATATCAAGTTCATTCGCACTGCTGACACATTTAAACACCAACTTCAGAGATAAAAATAAAATAAACCTGAGCTATTAACTCTCCTATTAACGCTTCAACTCTAAATAATGATCTCTGGGGAAACAAACACTTAGAAAATTAGCATCAGACACATTTTCAGCCACAAAGAGCAAAGCGGACATGTCGCTGTAGCTG